ACTCACAGGAGAGCTTTTTTATGTTGAAAAGTGCGAAGAATCAGTTTTTTTATTCAAAAAGCAAAAAATTGCACTAAAAAAAAATGTTCGGTCACACTACAGGTACAGTAGAGAGCGCCCTTTAGCGGCTACAGTAAAACTTGCTCAAGGTTCGTTTTGTCGTACCAAAAGACCCTTGTATACCAATTTTCACTGTTATACATCAAATATTGTTGGAAATATTTAAAAAAAACTATTTTAGAAAGTAAATTTAATATTTCGGAAGCCACGCATTTTTCGACGCATGTTTATATAGACTTTATGCATTAATTTTAAAAGTTCTATCGAATCTTAAAGTTTTGCAACAATAAACTGAAACACCCTGTATATGACAAGAGTATACGCTGATAACAGGGGGGCTTTCATCCACTGAAACCTGTTATCATTTTGGTAGGATAGCCGGCAAGGAAAACAAAAACTTGTCATGTAGTAGCAGTAAATGTTGTTTTTGCAAAGATCCTAAAATTTCGAAACAACTTTAATCCGTGTTTGCCCTGAATAGGAACAATAAGATTATCGAATTTGGTCCTAGCGTAACAAAGTTTGGGATACATGGTGAATCCCTGTGTGGACGTCACGGTGCCGGTGTAACTCTGCGAAAGCAATTAGATGAGCTTGCTTTGGATCCAGGTTAGTCTGAGATAACGTCACCGATGACAGAGCGAATGTGTTATCTGTTCGGAGCACGCAAACCGCAACACCAAGCGCGGGGGAATAGGTGAGGAGGACATCAAATATGGAGATGAGGGTTAGAAATACGACCTTTGTATTACTATGAATAGCATTCGTCGAAGTGAAACAAATACACTGATACTCAAAATTAACTGGACAAGCAAGATTTTGTTCAAATTAAATTTTAAATAACTTTTTAACCTTAGCATCAATTTCAAATTTAATTTGAAAAAAAAATGTCCGGTTAATTTTGCGTGGCAGTGTATTAATCTTAACGTACTGCCATCCCTTCAAATAAGAATTGTCATGGAGTTATTTTAACGGTGGGTGACTGGCTCCATTTATTGGTTCTAGGAGGTTATACTTCGAAGTTGAGTCATTTATTTTAACAGTGAGTAGATATGATCAAAAGAGATATTTTTTTCCTTTAACATTTTTCTGGTAAAATTAAATTAACAAAGTTATAGCCCTTTAGAAGTTTGAGTACCGCCCTGTCTCAATAATAATATTATGTGCTCGTGTTTGGCAACAACGTATATAATTCGGCTTATCGGTTCATCGCATCGGAAACAAAAAAGCGAAAGAATTTGAAACGTTTATCACGATGTCAGTCAATGTGCCAGTCGGTAACGCGTGAGTGAATAGTGGTGTTTGTTGGGTGGCTCAAACGAAATAAAAAATGGCACATGTTTATGAAAATGCTGAACTTGTGGACATGATTCTTATTTACGGGGCGGAGTCTTTACAAAATGCTGCCGCGGCATCACGGTTTTATGCGGATCGGTTTCCCAATCGAGTGCAACCAACCCCTCGTGCCTTTGTTAATGTAGTACAAAAGGCTCGTGAATCAGGTGACTTAAGACCTCACAGGGGAGGGCATGCCGGTGCTCCAAGACCGCACGATCAAATACTGGTCCGCGCTGAAATACTTGTCGGGAGGATACTTTATAAAACAAGGTAACATTTTTTTTTTATTTTTTTTATGTTTGCACACATATTTTGGTTTATCTTCCTTCTACAATCATTATCTGAAAATTAATGACTCAACTTCAACTACAGGCAGGCTGCAACTTGCTCTCCACCTACGGTCAGAGATGTTAGCCTAGGAAATATTGACTATCTTCACAATTAGTGGACGGCTGTTTGCCCTGTCTACAGTAGGCAGTGAAAACTCCTATCCAAGTTTGGAGATTATCTGCTCTTTTCCAGAGCGTTTGACATATGTCAACACCCCTAATGATCATTAGATCTTCGGTAATGTTAGTGCCGTAAGAGCTACTTGGATATCAGGTTGTCATATCATGCAGGTTCCCAGCGACGAGAAGAGAAACGAAACTCTTCCGCTGGGTTCATTCACACATAAAACCCACCTTAAACCTGGAATAATACAATAGACCAAACACGACCACTCAGACGAACAAAAAGAAACAATTCGCATAAGATACGTTATTACCATACGAAGACGTTCGTGAGCGAATTAAAAGGACTGAGGCAGACACCGCCAAACATTAACAATCCATCCAAAAAAAGGCACGTCTTTTCCTTGGAATACAAAAGAGAGCGAGCTCATCTCCATAAAAGTACCAATTAAAGGTTAGCCGAGAGAAGAGAACCTCCTCCCATACAAACCACCTCACCGGATCAGAGTTGGCCGTCGCGTCGGCCATTATGCGCTCAAAAGCGGCGGTGACTGTCGCTTGTTTCATGGCATACTACGATGCGGACGGCGCGGCGCCATTATCTTTTGCAAGGATAAACAATGGGCGCGCTTTGATGACTATGCACACACACGCGATTTGCATGCGATGAACAAAGACGAAAAAATTCGATAATGGCATGGCGTTGTGGTGGGTTCAGTCTCCAAGGTCCATAGATAACTTCAGACCAAGACCAATATCCAAATTAAAAATTTTCATTTGATATAAAATTTCCATGACGCGAAGCTGTCATCGTTCAATTCCAAAAACAGTAGTCTCTACTCGATGTTTAAACTTCGCCTTCCACTGATTTTACTTCAACATTTTTGCAAACAGCCTTGGTTTCTAGCTCTTTGTTTTTTTATTTTCGAACCACCACGAAGTCCCAACCACACGTGGGTATTGCGGGGCTGTAGGGGGATACAGGAGAAAGGGGGGACGCCTCACGGATTCTAACGAGGGATAAGTGTGCATCTAACATGCACACATTCTGGCCCCACATTAGAGGTCCGTCGGGTGGTACCACCGCCTTCGACAGTCCGTTATTACCATAAGAGTTTGCAATGGTAGTTTTTTCCGAACCCACTTTGTAAACAATTTGATTTATCTATACAAAACCTGCAGGGCCGGCTTTGACATCGTAGTTTTTTTCGGAACCTTGTATCTCAGTAATCTCAAGGCTAGTTGTATATGTTATAACGAAAATGTACTAAACACCATGTGAACAGGTGCTAATATTTCATACAAAGATGCATAATTGGAAGTCCAACATTTTATTGTATTGCATTGAAAAAGTTCTCTTATCTCCAAGCTCCCCAAAAGACTCTTGTTAACCACTGGCGCATCAAAGAGAAACCCCAAAAAAAGTATTTTCGGCTATTTTGGCACATTAGATTGCGACCTTGAGAATATGAAGTTTTCCCATGCCTCAAATTAATCTCTATGGAAAATCAAAAGTGACACTACTTTTTGTTTTTTGAAAATACAGTTGAACCTCTATAACTCGTACATACAAATTCCAAAACTTATTTTTTATTATTATACATATATATCCGAACACCCAGTTTAAATGGTTTTATTTTAATAAAAGTTGGTGAATGTATTTATCTTACCGTAAATAACAAGTGAACAAATTTTCAGCCTTATCAGTTGGACATTCCGGTTTTTATACTGCTTTTTTTTAATTCACTAACGCTCTAAAAATGAATATTTCAGCCGCAGTAAAGAATCAACGTTGGCGGATTTTGGTTCTTGACATCCTTTACGATCGGTTACGATGCCTAGAGTACGGAGACCTGTACGATTTCGTCAACTTAGTGAGTTTGATAGGGGCCGTATAGTGGGACTTCGGGAAGCTGGACTTTCTTTTCGGGCAATTGCAGTTAGAGTGCAAAGAAGTGTAGACACTGTGGTTAGGTGTTGTCAGGCATGGCTTCGAGAATGCCGTACACAAAGAGCAAGGGGCACTGGACGCCGCCGTAGAACAACAGACCGTGAAGATCGCCGCCTAAGATTATTGGCCTTGAGGGACCGTTTCTCCACTACCAGGTCCATTGCAAATGAATGGTTTGCAGAACACGGAAGACCTATTGGCATGCGAAGTGTTTACCGACGAATGAGAAGTTTTGGCTTGTTTTCATACCGGCCACACTGGGTCCTCCCTTTAACTCGAGAACACCGACGTAATCGCCTTGAGTGGTGCAGACAACGGTCACTCTGGGATCAGGAATGGAAAAGTATTGTCTTTAGTGACGAGTCTCGATTTTGTCTAGGCATGCACGATGGTTGTGCCAGGGTTAGAAGGCGACGTGGTGAAAGGAGGAATCCACAGTTTTTTGTTGAAAGACATGTTCATCACACTGTTGGAGTTATGGGTTGGGGTGCTATAGCTTATGGTTCCAGGTCACATTTAATCTTCATCAGAGGTAACATGAACGCGCAGCGTTATATCCACGAAGATCTAGAACCCCATCTTTTACCCTATCTTGACACCCTGGCAGATCCAACTTTCCAACAAGATAATGCCCGACCACATGTTACAAGAGTTACAATAGACTTCTTTCAACATAATGATGTCACATTGTTACCATGACCACCAAGATCTCCCGACTTATCCCCAATTGAGCACGTGTGGGATATGATGGGTAGGAGATTGCTCAATTTGCAACGTCCTCCTCAGACTCTAGAAGCACTTCGAGAGGAGTTGGTGGTTGCCTGGAATGAGATACCACAGGAGGACATTGACCACCTGATCAGAAGCATGCCTAGGCGCGTTGGAGAATGCGTAGCACATCAGGGTGCATCCACACATTATTAAAGGTCAAAGGGATTTAAAGCAGTGCAATCATTAAGAAATTTTTATCATTTACTTATTATGCTTCATTAAGTACTTATACAAAATTTTATTAAAATAAAACCATTTAAACTGGGTGTTCGGATTTATATGTCATTTAGTATATATACATAATAACATATGTATTAAAAACTAAACTACATAGGAAAAAGCGTTAAACTAAGAAAAAAGTATCTACTAACTTGAAATGTATGTACTAAAAGTACTTTAAAAATAATCAGTTATTAAACTTTGACTGATTATTTTTTGGGGCGGTATGATTCATATTTTTGTCTAATTAAGCAGATTAAAGTAGAGCCGTCATTAGTTGCAGCCTCATTCATTGAAAAGGCAAGCTGGATGGTTTCAATTGCCATTAAAACTTCAGCGTCAGAAGGCTTCTCTCTTGGAGTTCCTTCACTGTCGTCTGCATCATCAGATCTGTTCTCCAATTCATCCTCCAAGTCATCCTGTTTTTTGCTTACACTTTCCAATATTTCGTCTTCTGTATTAATTTCGCTTGATATTAGATGCTCGTCTACATGTACAAATTCATCCAAAGAGACCATATCATTAGCATTCAAAATTTCTAAGCATCTATCAATGGTCGCTTGGACATTCAGGGCTACTTGCTGTTCATTGATAATTATTTTTCTTAATTCTGACAGAGGCATTTCATCTTCTAAGTCATAATAGGTGTGCGTCCAAAACCAGCTTTTCTGAAGCAGTTTTGAATAGTCACTTGGGTTACATCTACCTTCCATACTGTTGCCGAAATATGAATGCAATCCAAGAGATCAATTTTAGGGATTGTGGCATTGGTTTCAAATCCGTCTAGTATTTTTTCCATGATTCTACGTTTATAATGGAATTTAAATGTTTTTATAATGCTCTTATCTAAAGGCTGCAGTTTGGATGTCATATTTGGTGGAAAGAAAATCAACTGTATTGCGCAGGACAGTTGTTAATCAGAAACAAAACCTTACGGCTTTGAAGTAGAAACTGTTTGTCCAGGTCCAACCGCCACTTTGAAAAAATTTAACTCGTCATCCATGCCTTTTTATTGTTGTAGTAAGTCAGCGGAAAATTTTTAACTCCTCGAAAGCATCGTGGTTTTATCTTTTTCCTATTAGGACAAGTTTCAGTATTTCAGTATAAAAGGCTCACCCTTTCCTTAGACAACTTTCCTGCGTGACATTTTTCTGATTTGTCTGACTGACCTTCCTCCATCGTATACAATTTATGCACATGTCGCTTGTTCTACAACTTTCGCACTTAAGGTCATTCTTAAGGTGAGAGATGAGGCCTTAATTAAATTTCGTCACAATCCATCAGATGAAAATTGGACAGCGTATAAACAGTTAAGAAATTATTCACTTGCTTCAATCCGGCGTGAGAAAAAGGCATATTTATCTCGCTTTGATAATCTCAATTCTAGAAAAGCTTGGGATCAGCTCAGAGCAATGAATATTTGTCCCCAGAAACACATTGAAATACCCTATGATCTGTTAGACCCTAATGAAGTCAATAACCACTTCATGTTAAATTACCAAAATCTTAATATCAATTCCCGTTTGATTGACAGTACAGTAGAGTTTTATGAGAACAGCTTTAACAGCCAAGATGTAACTCCATTTACATTTAGAATGATGACCGCTGAAGAAATTTTGGACATAGTTACCTCTATCAAGTCACCTGCTACAGGGAGTGATGAAATTAATTTGAACATGCTAGGATACTGCTTACCAGAAATTTTATTGTATTTAACACATATTGTTAATATATGCCTTGAGACCGGGACTTTTCCTGATGCTTGGAAGGAAGCTATTATCATCCCTTTAGCCAAAGTCAAAAATCCAACCACTCATAGTCATTTGCGGCCTGTTAGTTTGCTGTGCTTTTGTTCGAAGGTATTAGAGAAAGCAGTGTACATTCAACTAGTGGAGTATTTAGAGCAAAATAACTTGTTTTCTCCTCATCAATCAGGATTTCGTGCGGGACATAGCACTACTTCAGCTTTGCTCCATCTAACTGACAACATCGTAGGTAACTTAGACAGACATATTAATACCATATTAGTGATGATTGATTTCTCAAAAGCCTTTGATACAGTTAATCACAAAATCATGTTGAGCAAGCTGAAGTACATTGGATTATCTGATATACCGCTAAGATTTTTCCAAAGCTACTTGGCAGAAAGAAAACAATTAGTTAAGACGGTTAGGGGCGTCTCTTCTAGTACTGTGGTTTCGTCTGGCGTTCCGCAGGGGTCAGTTCTGGGACCCCTGCTATATTTAATTTACACTATAGACTTAGATTCATGCGTGAAATTTTGTTCTATACAAACGTATGCTGATGACACACAATTATCATTTCACTTCACATATGCTCAGTTAAATGAAGTGTCGTTTAAAATTAATACTGACCTAATCAATATTACGGATTTTTGTAAAAAGCACTGTCTCAGGATCAATCCTGAAAAGAGTTCAAGTATGCTTTTTTCTCCGAAACACATGTATAATAACATAAAGGACGTAATTGTACTCATTATAAATAACGAGCGCATCCCCATGGTAGAACATTCTAAAAACCTGGGTGTTATCTTGGACTCTAACTTGAAGTTTGATAGGCACATCGGTTACCTGTCTCAAAAAACATATGCCAAATTAAAACTTTTATATTCCAACCGTTTCATTTTAAACTTTAAGACTAGGAAAAAATTAGTTGAAAGCTTGATCCTGTCATCTTTGCAACATTCTCTGATTTTATTCTATTCTTATTTGGATTCGTCGGATCGGTATAGACTACAAAAAATTCAAAACGGCTGCTGCAGGTTTGTGTTTGGACTTCGTAAATATAGTCATGTCTCTTCGAAGATTAAAGATTTAAATTGGTTAAAGATGGAATCACAGTTTGTTTATGCTATGAAGGTGTTTGTCCATAAAGTAGTTTGCACCAAAAAACCACCGTACATTTTAGAAAAGCTAGTACCAAGAGGTAACATTAATCACAGAAATCTCAGACACAACCTAAATTTTGCGATGCCAGTCCACTATACGGCCCTTTTCCAGAAAAGCTTCACATTTCATGCTGTCAAGTTATACAACTCTACAAATAAAATATGTCGCAGTAAAACAATAGTGCCTTTCAGGAGACTCGTTAAGAAACAGCTGATGGGATATTAATAGTGTGCATTTGTTTCTTTTTCTTATTATTACTTTTGTTTGTTTGTGTATCGAGTGTTACTCTTTCGTACACAGTGAGGTTAAGTGTAAGAGTAGCCATTTGGCTAAACTTCGCCTCACTGATGTATACTGATTAATAAAGACATTTATTATTATTATTATTATTATTCTAGACATATCCAGAGTAATCGGGGTTTATTCTTGAGCTTCTAGACTTCTTATCTTTGGCAGCATTCTGTAACTTCCTGTCTATCTGCAACCCTATTCCGAATTCCGTGAAAATTGAAGTAGGGCCTTACACCTTCGTTTCTGCTCCCTGCCTCCCAAACTGATTTGGATGCACCCCGGAGTGCACACGTCACCTCAAGTCACGGCAGAACCGTCGCCGCTCCGCAGCAGCGGTAGATTTACTGCGGCAATCCGGCCGTCGGTGCGGCAAGAAGACGATCCGAATTGTAGATAAACGTAAATAACGCAGAGCCATTCGTCTTCAGAAGCCCGCTGGATTGAAGGCGGAGGGAAAATGCGTTTCGGTGTAATTGGAAGGTTTCGGAAAGCCAAAGAGGAGCTAGCTGGATAACATTTCGGCGGGTACCTTTGATTAAAAGAGTGATTCAAAATACCTTGATCGAAGGTTTCATATACATAGATTGTTTGGCTTTTAAAGCAAGCTTGCATATTAAATTGTCTTGAGCTGCAGTTTTTAATATACCCTTGAAGAATATCCATACACACTCAGCATTAAATATCGCTAAGCTATCATTAGCACAAGCATTGAAAAGCCATTGCAATTCCTCCAACAACAAATGTCTCATTGGTTAAAAATTATAGTCGGGTACCAAAATGGAAGAGGGGCATAATACATCGTACGCCACTGATAAAGCAGTGTGTCTTTTCAGTATGGTATGTCCCGCGCACAGATATGTAAAGAAATGCCGCCGTAGCAGTGGCGCACGATCGTTATGCTACTCTCTTGCATTTTGGTACCCAAGTACAATATACAGGGTGGCCCATCCATGTGTGAACGGAATATTACTCATAAACAAATACATTTTTAGAAAATCTATTTATGGGAAGTTATACATGACATTTGAGGGCATATTTCTAAAATATTGGCTATTATACAGGGTGTCCCAATTTTGACATACATATCAAAGTTGTGATTTTTTAAATGGAATGCCTCAAATTTTATTGCATATTTGGATAAACCAATTCCAAAGAAGAAGATTGATATAACATACTATAGGGTTTTGGTAATTAGCTACTGAGATATAAGGTGTTTTGTCCAGAAAAACCGTCCACTTCGGCAACCCCTCAATCCGCCATTTTTTAATTTGGACTGCTGAATTTTGTATAAAAAAAACCTATACACCTCAGCTTGTATCTTATTTGTTACTTTTTCGAAGTTTCATTTTTGCTCATACAGGGTGGTCAAAAACGCGAATTGTACTTTTTCTAAAAAAATTCAAATGCGTTACCCTGTATATTTGTGCAAGTTTGGATTCAGTTTTTTATAAGGTTTTTTTGATACTAGACACATAAGGGTTTTTACGGCTTTTTACGGCTGTTTTTTGGTTATTAGCACGTCTTTTATGGAACGGCTTAATTCCCTAAAATATCGCATCATCCTTGGAAACAAATAAATTGTTGATTAGTTACAAACTGTCAAAATTAGCTTTGTGAGCATTATAATAAAAACGTGTTTGAAAATCAATTTTTCTAAAGAAGAAATGGTGGATATGGTGTTCGTTTCGGACGAAGCCCAAAGAAATAGTTTCCTAGCGTCTCGCATTTACAAGCAACGGTACCCTAGTATGCGAAATCCTAGGCCGGAAACATTTTCCACACTACGAGAACCTTTTGAGTCAAGTGGACCAGTGGAATATAGTAAAAAATGTATAAGTAATCCAAGTGTCACCATTGAGGCGAATCAGTTGGAGGTTCTGTTACAGGAAAATCCCCATTTAAGTGCACCCCTGTATAATGACCAATATTTTAGAAATTTACCCTCAAATGTCATGTATAACATCCCATAAATAGATTTGCCCAAAATGTATTTGTTTATGAGTAATATTCCGTCCACACATGGATGGGCCACCCTGATACATTCTTCAAGTACTGTGTCTGTAAAAACAACAAAAATACATTATTACCAAATCAAATTCTGCCATGGCTAGAGCTTTAAAAAATAGCGTCAATGATTTGACCCAATACCTACTTCACATGTAATCAATATTGTTTACTTACGCGCGTATACAAAAAAAACCTCCCAAGTATTTGGATCTGAGCTAAAAGAAGACTGATGACAAACGTTTTATGATAACTTCGGCGTATTTCAATTGATTCCCAGAATTTGTATAGATTTTTTGTGTTTGTCATAATAACTC